CCGCGGATTTACCTGATAATATTAATATCCTCTCTCTCTCTCTCTCTCTCTCTCTCTCTCTCTCTATATATATATATATATATATATATATATATATATATATATATATATATATATATATATATATATATATATATATATATATATATATATATATATATATATATATAGAGAAATATAGATACAGAGATAAATATAAACAAAAAGAGTTTTTGTGTTTTAAAAATAAAATGTTTTTTTCATATTTCTTTCCACTTAAAAAAAAAAGGCTCTCTTTAAAAAATTTTTCGCGTAAGCAAGAACTCGATACCAAACAGGTACTTGAGTTTTATATATATATATATATATATATATATATATATATATATATATATATATATATATATATATATATATATATATATTGTCATTAATTTATATATTAATAATTGTTGGTATTTATTTTGTGTGTAGCTTCTAGCGCCGAGAAGACAATGTTGTGATGTGTTACCTTCTAGTTCTGGAAATGTGATGGAAATTGCTGTAAGAGAATGTGGTGATGAGGAGTTGATATATATGCATTAATTTCATTTAAAAAAATAAAAATTATTTTCCCTAATATTTTTTTAATTATTTTTTTTTTATTTTTTTTTTCAAGTAGTATAATATTGTGGGCAGCTCTAATTTTTGTAACTAAAGTTGGTTCTATTGCTGCGAGATATCAAGAATGTTATATATTAGGCTAAATTACGGCCACCTCTCTGAGTTAATGTTAAATTATGAAAAAACCCCTCATGTTTGGATAATTACAATTACCCCTCAACTATGAATTTTTTACACGTTCACTCTTAAGCTTGCGGTGTCACATTTAGTGGAATCTTGTAGATCATGTGGAATATTCTTCAGTTTAATTTGTAGTCGTTTTACGCCATTCGAGCTCCACATTTTGAAATAAGATGATCATAAAATGTGTCTTTTGACTTCTCAATATTAGATTGTGGTGCATCAAAAACTTCATTTTTACATAGAACGAGCACAAACTAGATAACATTCATGGAATCTAAAAGATTCTGTTGAATTTAATACCATAAGGGTCGACGTGTAAAAATAATTATAGTTGAGGGTTGGTTGTAATTACACATATAAAAGAATTTTTTCGTAAGTTAACATTACTTCAGTGGTGACCGTAATTTACCCTATTTATTAACACTGAGTTATATCTTTAACTTCATTTATAAAATAATACACAATTCATACATAGTCAAAAAAAAATATATTTAAAATTGATTTTCAGAAAAATATAATTTGGATACAACATTAATATTGTAATTATATGAATAATAGGACCTCTTCTTAATAAGGTTTATTTGGTACAAAGGCAATGAATTGAAGCATAATACAATTTAATATAATATAATATTATATTGTCCAATGAATTGAAGCATCTCACAGATTAAAAAAATACGATCACCGCGGCGGTGATCAGACCACCCATCAAGCGGAGTTTCGCGGCTGACGACGGAGTCGGCGGCGGCGGCAACACGGACACACCCGGAGGAGGAGCGGAGGCAGGCGGCAAGACGGACGGCACACCCGGAAGAGGAGCGGGGGCGGGCGGCAATGTGGGCCCGCCCTTCGCCTTTGACGGTGGTGGTGATGAAGGTGATACCTTTGGCGGTGGCGAAGGAGCCATACTTTTGACTGGTGGTGGGGAGGAGACGGCGGACGGTGTTGGCGGCGGAGGCGTGCTTCTGAGTGGTGGTGGGGAGGAAACGGGAGAAGGTGTTGGCGGCGGGGATGGGACCCTTGGAGTGGCGGCAGGTGGTGGTGGTGGTGGTGGTGGAAGCACCGGAGGGGCGGCGGTTGGGGGTGGTGGTGGTGGAAGCACGGGAGTGGTGGGGGGCGGTGGTGAAGAGGCGGCGGCGAGGATGTCGATCTCGACCTTCATGCCGCCCTGGCAGTGGCCGCCGGTGCCGCAGATGAAGTACCGGGTTCCGGCGGAAGGGAGGGCTATGGTGGTGGCGCCGCCGGTGAAAGGTGGTTGCAAAGGGTTGCTTGATGAGCAGGAATCATAATCTGCCTTGGATACTTCGGTGACGTCATGGTTTAGGGTGTATTGGAAAACTGCAACCAATTGAATTAGTTTAAGAAATTATATTAATATAATTAATTTAAGAAATTTGTTGATATTTTTGTAAAATATTAATACAAATAAGGTTAATAAATATGATCTTAGAAAAAAAGATATAAAATATGATG